AGTGGGAGAGAGAGAGAGAGAGAGAGAGAGGAGGTTGTCTAGAGTAGCTGTTACACAGTGACTTCTCGAATAGTCCCCATTATTGGGAAGGAAGAATAATCCAGAAAGAGTCACAGAGAATCAGGACAAAGCTCCTGCTTGGCCATGTGTTGTGCTGGTTCCCGCAGTGGTTGAGGTCATTGCTACTCAATAGTATACTGGGCAGTTGCCAGGGGATAACCTGCTCTCTTTTCCTGTGTTGTGGTTACTGCACGTAGTTGAGACTGGATATATTCTTAAGTACTCTCATGTACTCAAATACTGCTATATTATTCAGGCCTTTAAAAGGAAGTAAATCCTGGTGTCCCTGGGTGGCTCAGTCAGTTAAGTGGCTGACTTCGGGTCAGGTCATGATCTCACAGTCGTGAGTTCAAGCCCCATGTCGGGCTCTGTGCTGACAGCTCAGAGCCCAGATCCTGCTTTGGAATCTGTCTCCCTCTCTCTCTGCTCCTCTTCCACTTGCACTCTGTCTGTCTCTCTCAAAAATGAATAAAACACATTTTAAAAAATAATAAGAGGAAGGAAATCCTGGGGTGCCTGAGTGGATCAGGTGGTTAAGCTTCTGAGTCTTGATTTTGATTCAGGTCATGTCATAGTTTGTGAATTTGGGTCCCATGTGCAAGTGCTGCACTAGCAGCATGGAGCCTGCTTGGGATTCTCTCTCTCTCTCTCTCTCTCTCTCTCTCTCTCTCTCTCTCTCTATCCCTCCCCTGTACATCCCCAAATGCTCTCTCATAATAAACTTTAAAAAAATAAATACATGAAAGGAAGAAAATCCTGTCATGTGCTACATCTTGAATGGACCTTGAGGGCATTATGCTAAGCGAAATGAGCCAGCCACAAAAAGACAAATACTGTGTGATTCTCCTTTTGTGAGGTGTCCAGAGCAGTCACATTCATAGCGGCAGATAGTGGGATGGTGATCCCCAGTAGTGGGGGAGGGGGGAGGAGCGGGGAGTTGTTTATTACATGTGCAGGAACAAAAGAATTCTGGACATTGTACGACAGTATGAATGTGCTTAACATGATCTGGACACCTAAACATGATGAAGATGGTTGGGGCGCCTGGGTGGCTCAGTCAGTTAAGTGTCTGACTCTTGACTCTAGCTCAGGTCATGATCTCCTAGTTCTTGATATCGAACTTCGCATTGGCCTCTGCACTGACAGCAGAGCCTGCTTGGGATTCTTGTGTGCTGTTTCTGCCCCTCCTCCACTCTCTATTTCTCTCAAAATAAACTCAATAAGTTATAAAAAAGTGACGAAGATGGTATATTGTACGTGTGTTTTACCACAGTTTTAAAAAGTAATTTAAAAGCTTATTAAGTACATGCCAAGTGTCAGACATTATTGTGGTGTCTCTCTCCCTATTGAATGGGGACTCCCAGATGTGGGGTGATGATCAGGTGGGAGCTGGTGGCGTGGGTGGTAAAAGGATTCACCCAAAGCAAAACAAAGGAGATAGAGGTTTATCCAATACATTGCAAGGGAGCGGCGGGCAGGACTGCAGAGGGAAGGCTGTCTGCAGCAAGGTCGTGGGTGAAGGCTGTTTTTAAAGAGAGAAGATGGGGCGCCTGGGTGGCTCAGTCAGTTAAGCATCCGACTTTGGCTCCGGTCACGATCTCGTGGTTCATGGGTTCGAGCTCCTGCTCTGTGCTGACAGTCAGCTCAGAGCCTGTAGCCCGTTTCAGATTCTGTATCTCCCTCTCTCTCTGACCTTCCCCTGCTCACTCTCTCTCTCTCTGTCTCTCTCTCTGTCTCTCTCAGAAATAGATAACATTAAAGAAAATAATAAAAAATAAAGGGAGAAGATGAGGAGGTTTGAGATGTATGAATTCTCCCTTTTTTGGTAACTATGCCTGGTTGTAAGTAGCCCATTGGTCATTTCGGGCTTATGAATATGTTGAGGTAGGGGACCTGATGGCTCTGTCTGCATTCAGCCTAGTGGTCGCTGTGGGCCCTCTTGCTTTGCTTGACATTCCATTGCTCAAGCCTGTTGACTAAAAGTGGCCTCTACAGTTACACCTGGCACAAGGGGACATGATGTGAGTAAAAAGAACTGTGGCCCCTGTCCCCCCTTATGGAGTGTAGGGGCCAGTAGGGAAAACGTGTCAAACGGAGAAGGGCATTAACAGGCACAAGTGTGGCTGGAGCACGTGCTATGTTTGGTACCGTGAGAACTTACAGTTGGAGAACTTGACCTCATTAGGGAGGCCAGGCCAAGAGCCAAGGTGAGCAGGATGAATGTGCAGAGCATGAGCAAAGGCAGCAAGAAGGCCGGTGTGCCAGAGAACAGAGGGTGGGAGAAACTGTGTTGCAGGAAGAGGCTGGTGAAGACCAAGGGGTCAGACCGCACAGCCTTATGGGCCATAGTGAGGGAGTTTGTCTTTCTTCCTGAGCAGAGTGGGCTGCCACCGAGAGTTTTGAGTGAGGGTGTGGAGATAGAAAAACAGGTGTGGGTTTTTGAAAAGGTCAATCTGAAGGAACATTTTTTTCTTGGAAGGAAAAGTCTTAACAAATGCTGACAGTTGTATCTTAACTATCCATGTGGAAAAATTGAGAAACTCTCCTCCAAGTGTTTCTCAGGGCCCTTGTGATAGGCCCCGCCCTGATGCTTGCAGGGCCTGAGCAAGATGGTAAATAGAGACCCACATCCCGTCAGTCTAAATGGTTACAGGTTATAATCAAGCTAACAAACTGTTACCACTATGTTCTAGTATCTTACCATGACACACATGTCTTTAAAATGTCAAACAAGATGTATACAACTAGGATTTTTATGTGACTAACAATTAACAAAGTTCCAGAGATTGACTTTGTCTATGATTGCATTGTCTGGTAGTCTGTTGGGCCAATGAGATATGGATCAGTAATAAAGATTTTATACTTAATAATTTCTGACTCCACAGTTTTTTTCTATCATTACAGAAAAATCAGTAGGTATATTTTAATTAAGGTTTTCATATAATTTGTTTTCTTTTGACAGAAATACTGAGTTAGACAACTTTTTTTTTAATGTTTATTTCTGAGGTGGGGGAAGAGAGAGAGTGGGCACGAGCAAGGGCCTGTGAGTGGGGGAGGGGCAAAGAGAGAGAGGGAGACACAGAATCCCAAGCAGGCTCCAGGCTCTCAGCTGTCAGCACAGAGCCTGATGGGGAGCTTGAACTCACAAACTGTGAGATCATGACCTGAGCAGAAGTCAGACACTTAACCAACTGAGCTGAGCCACCCAGGTGCCCAACAACTTCTTCTTCTTCTTTTTTTTTTTTTTTTTTTGCAACAGCTTTGTTAAAATATACTTTGAGTATGGTACAACTCACCCATTTGAAGTTACAACGTGTCTTGAGTTATTTTAGTTCTGAGATAACTTCTCATTAATTTCAATTTGAAGAAACTTTGCCCTGCTGGGGTCATATTGACATAAATTATTAAAAGATTCTTAAAACAATACTGAGATTTGAAAATGGACCATGAGTATAATATAACATGACTTGTTCCAAACATGGTAATGGGGTCTCCTATAATAAGTTATCTTTTTTTATTAAGCTATAATTGACATGTAACCTTATGATAGTTTCAGGTATAATAACTTATCACAGAAAATGTTAGAAAATATCTTAATTGCATCATATAAATCTTTATCACTTACACATAATTGTCATTGTCTTTTCAAGCAATATCTCAATCTAATGTTATTGTGGAGTCCCGGCTGGGGCGCCTGGGTGGCTCAGTTGGTCAATCATCTGACTTCAGCTCAGGACATGATCTCACAGTTTGTGAGTTCGAGCCCTGCATCGGCCTCTCCCTTGACAGTATAGAGCCTCCTTGGGATTCTTTCTCTACCCCTCACACTTGTGCTTTCTCTCTCTAAAATAAATAAACTTAAAAATTTTTTAAATGTGTCCTGGCATCTTATGTCACACATGTTATGCCTGGACATCTCCGAGCAGCAGGGATGGTTTGATCTTGTGAACTGTTCCTCCCCTGCCACATTCAGATGTTGTGAGTTTGGAGGAGCTCCTGAAGTATGAGTTGGAACAAGAGGAAGAGCCAGAATACAGGCACTCGGCACAACTGGGGATGGCGATGGATTGTGCAGGGATCACTTATGGTCCCACATCTGAAAGGCAGGAATTGATGGGTGAATCAGACTTCGATCCTAAATCTCAGATCCTCCCCAGCTCTGATGCAGCCTCCATCACCACCACTGCTGTATTAGCAGTAGGGAAACCCTTAGATGTTTGGGGCTTTCAGACACAGTTGCCAATGATCAGAAGGAACTTAGGAAAAGGGGCTGTGAGGGAGCATTTCTTGGGTCCTAAATGGTGCTGGTTACCAGAGCTGATGGTTAGAATTACTCCAAGGGACAGAGACACTCATGTACCCTTAATAAAGTGTGTGTGTGTGTGTGTGTG